TAGATTGCCCAACCTTCCTTCTGAGGAGTGGCTGGTGGGTTTGAACCGTCAGCCTTCTGGTTAGCAGTCAAGTGCCTTAGGCACTATGCTACCAAAGCTCCCAAATTGACAATAGTAACTCAAAAGATTAGATAGGAAACTTAGGGGGCAGTGAGTTTATATAAATGGAGGGAGGAACAACTCAGAAAAGAAGGGTGGGAATGGTTGCAATCTCCACAAATATAATCAATGTCACTAAGTTGCACATGTAGAAATTGTTGACTTGGTGTATGTTCATCAGTGTATATTCTCAACAACAAAAATAAATTATATTTTTTAAATGTTATATTAAAACCTAACTCAAAAGAACCACATTAGCTATTTTCCATTTAAGAATATGTCTATATTTTGAAAGCTAAATCTTCATTAAAACCAAAACCAAACTCACTGCCATTGAGTCATTTCAGACTCATAGTGACCCCTCCTTGGGTTTCCGAGGCAGTTTCTCTATGGAAGTAGATTGCCCCATCGTCCTTCTGAGGACTGGCTGGTGGGTTTGAACTGCCAGCCTTCTGGTTAGCAGTCAAATGCCTTAGGCACTATGCCACTAGAGCTCCTAAATCTTCATTACCCAAACACAATTTTGAAACAGTCAAGTCTTTTGAAGTAAGAATATTATAGAAGAGGCAAAGAGACTTGGAAAGTACAGTCAGATGGTCCCCATTTTATAGAGGGGGAAAAGAGGTTTGCAGAAGTGCAGTCAGAGAGTTCCAAGACCAAACAGTTACCATAAGGCAGAGCTGGGACTTGCATCATGTCATTGACTCCAAAAGCTCTGTTCTCAACTACTCTGCCAGAGGGTCTCAGGTTCAAACACTCTCAGGGAAAGCGAGTGAAGAAAGCCAGGTTTGGGCTGAAGTGAAATGGAGACCATATGCCCAAGTAAAGGCAACTCTAGCTGCTGAGCTGCAGAGCAACCTGGCCAGGTGGATATGCTGGACTTTAGAAATCAGAGTAGCTGGCAAGTGGGCTATCTAGATTGTGAAATTTTAAAATATTGGTTCAATTTTTTTTTTCTTAAAAAAATTTCTAATCCTTATTAGAATAGAGAAAATGAGGAAAAAAGAAAGACAGACAAACTGATAATACTAGCAAGCATATGGAGCAACTGAACTGCTGGTGGGAATGCAAAATAATACAGCCATTTTGGAAGATCCTTTGACAATTTCTGGTCAAGTTAAACATACACATACCATGTCCAGCAACCCCCTTCTAGGTATTTTTCTAAGTGAAATGAAAAGCTATACTCATACAAAAACCTGTACCTGAAGGTTTTATGGTGGTTTATGTATAATCACTAGAAACTGGAAACAGCCCAAATGTCTCTTGATTGGAATGGATAAACAAACTGTGGCCCGTTCATTCAATGGACTACCACTTAACAATAAAAAGAAATGAGCTAGTCATATGCATAACAATAAGGATGAATCTCAAAATTATTATGATAAGAAACCAGATTCAAAGGACTACATACTGTATGATTCTATTTATATGACAGTTATATGACATAGTAAAGGAAACATGATAGAAAACAGATCAGGAGTTGCCAGGAACTGGGGTTGGGGTGGAGTTTGACCCCACAGGGTCAGCAGAAGGAAATTTTGGGGGGTAATGGAAATGTTCTGAATCTTTATTGTGGTGGTAGTTAAATGATTGTATGTTTGTCAAAATTTGCAGAACTAAAAAGGTGATTTTAACTGTGTGCAAACTATATTTTTGTTGTTGGTGTTGTGCTGTAGGTGCAAATTTACACAGCAGAATTTGTTTTACATTCAACATTTCATGTACATTTGGCTGCACTCCCCAATTGCCATCCCCAACCCTAACCCACTCTCCTCCTCTCCCTCCCCATTAACCACCCCGTCCCTGTGCCCTTCTTAGTTATGAATTCCTGTCTGTCCAGCTTTCCCTCCATGTGCAAATTATACTTTAATAAATAAGAAAAAGAGTTGAACAGTGAAGAAAAGCAGCAAAAACCTATTGTTTGATTTGTATACAAACACACACACATAAAAATCACACACAAAGCAATATATTTTGTTCACTGATATATATGATTATTTCATATTATAAAGACAGTCTTAATGAGTTAAGATTACAAACTATTTGACACCTTTAGAAAAAACTCACAAATATAATTTCAAGATTTATTTCACATTCAGTGAAATAAAAAATCTACAGTGCCCTAAAGCCATGTATTTTCTGGAACACTAGACAATTAAGAATTCCAAAGAATGATACACTGTGAGAACAATATTTGGATTGTTAATAGGGTGTCAAGTTATTTAACATATGCTCTTAGTTGAGAAAATACAAAAATGTATTGCAAATTATATAGTTCTTTACAAATAAAATAGTATGGTTAAAGAGCACAAGCTTTAGAGTTCAATCTGCATGACTTGAATCCTATCTTTGCCACTTACTAGCTATGGGAACTTGAGGAAGTTACTTTAACCCTCTGATTTTTATTTTCCAAACTGTAAAATGTGAAGGAGCTCTAGTGGTGTAGTGCCTAAGGCATCTGACTGCTAACCAGAAGGCTGGAGGTTCAAACCCACCAGCCACTCCATGGAAGGAAGATGGGGCAATCTACTTCCGTAGTGATATTGCCTTGGAAACCCAAGAGGGGTCACTATGAGTTGAAATCGACTCCATGGCAGTGAGTTTGGTTTGGTTTTGGTAAAATGTAAAATCCTCATAGATTAAATAAGAAAATACCTGTAGAACACTTAAGCCAAAAACCTATGAAATGCTAAATAAATAGTAGCTGTTACTGATTATTTATGTATGTTAGAAATTTTAAGATTTTCATATTTTGAAGTTAATTGCAAATAGTAGCTTCAGTAAGTAGGACTATTCCAGAATCATCCCCATCAAAGGCTACTGAGAGGCTGCTTGGAGTGATATCACAAAGGACAAGGGGCAGCCTGGCGGTGGTCGGTTTTGTTACCTTTCCTTCCTGACAGGCTGTTAACAGCGAGAGCGTGGGTGCTCCTCCTTCCCCCTGCAGTAACTCTTAACAGGCTGGGCTAGGTTGAGACAAGTTAGGTGCCAAAAAAAAAAACGAAACAAAAACCCCTGCTGTGGAGCCCATCACCGAATCATAGGCGCCTCATAAGGAGCCCTGGTGCCGCAGTGGTTAAAGCGCGTGGCTGCTAACCAAAAGTCTGACACTTGAACCCATTAGCCGCTGTGCGGGAGTAAGATGTAGTAGTCTGCTTCAGTAAAAGATTTACAGCCTTGGAAACCGTTTGCCCTGTAAGGGTCGCTATGAATCGGTAAACACCAGACGGGTTTGGCGGTCTGGTTTTCAGGTGCCTGATTAGGCTCACTTGGCCCACCTTCACTCCAGTGTTCTTATTTGCGTTCCTCCTGATTCTGTGCATTCCTTTCCTACCCCAGGGAGAAAATCTTTAGATTCTGCCACGTTTAAAGGCTGAGAAGATTCATATAATTTGATGGCCTACTTCCGTAGTGATACTGCCTCGGAAACCCAAGGAGGGGTCGCTATGAGTCGGGGCTGACTCGACGGCAAAAAACAACACAACAACGAACAATCATTCATTGACTTTACCTAAGTTATTGTGTCCCAGATTCTGTATGTTAGCTACCCTTTTGAGGCAACTTTCATGTTTGGAATTTAACCATTCTCTCTCTCTCCCTCTATCTCCCTCTCTCCCTTCCTCTCTCCCTCCCTCTCTCCCTCTCCCTCTCTCTCTCTCTCTCTCTCTCTCTCTCTCTCTCTCTCTCTCTCAATACAGGACTCTCTCTTTGAAGGAATCTCAAAGCTCGCTGACAGGAAACGACGTAAGCGAGCCTCATCTCAGTAGATCAAAAGAAAAAGAAAATTCATTTATGGAAAATGAGTAAATTCAGCCTAAGTCATCGGAAACGTTTAGTTTTTAACTTCATAGTACTACACATCTTTTGTGGGCTTGTGGTTTTATAGAACCTCATTATGTAAGAAAAATCCTTAGGATCTTGTTTGATTTTGCTTCTTTATAGCATTTGAAGCATTGCTTTCCATGTGTGAATCCAAGGATTTAGTTATTCCTCATCTCATACAATTTATTGAGAAAATAAAGATTTTTTTCTCATTCACCAAAATGAGAAATTTTTGCGCCGCTGAAATTATGCTATGCTCCTATTTTGGATGAGAATTGGAATGAAAACCTGAAGATAGTTCTGATTCCTAATATGTGAACCAATATCCAAATATAAGATTACTACCTACGGTTTGGTAGTTCTAATTTTAAAATGTATTAGAAAGCATGAGACTATGTCGCATAAAAACAAGCAGTTTCATTAATGTCATTTTTAATTTAATATTCCGTTTTGACCCCAAACTGGAAAGTGTCCTGCTCTTCCAATTGTAGGCATTGTTTCAAGTACGTACTAGTTCCGTTGCTGCAAAGTACTGTGCATCCACTCAGACTTCCCCAATGGAGGCAGGGGAAATAGGGAGACTAAGCTCTGCAGGGTTGGAGCGGCCGGGGCCGGCTCTGGACCAGCTTCAGGTCGCAGAACCTGCTGTCAACGGCGCCTTGGATCCGCTTCTTCCCCGCACAGTGCACCCTGCTCTTCCCGCGGGTTCACGCGTGCAAAACGCCCCACATGAGTTTCCGGCAGCCAGGAAGCCAGGAAAAGAATCTTACGTCTAAATAGTGAAACGAAAAAGCGGTGGTGCAGCCCGGGGCTGGGAGGCGCGCGGAGGCCCGAGGTCTGCGCCGCCAGCGCAGCCCAGGACAGTGCACTCCCATTTTAAGAATTTCCGAGAGTAGCGTACACTCAAGTGAAGTTTATTTCTGCGCGGCTCACTAATGGGATCTCCGAGCACTGGGGTAGAAGGGCTACTACTTTAAATAATGAAGACAATCTGAAACATCTGCCCTGTGGAAGAATCAAAGATTAACGCATCCATTTGGCCTACTGACATTTCCTTACAGAAAGGAAAAAGTTATGCTCAGCAAAACAGCTGCATTCCCACCTCAGCTCGGCCCGGCGCCGGGAGCGGCCTGGGTAAGACTGGACCCGGACCCGAGTCCCAAAGAAGAGGGTGGTGGCGAAGTGGCTCTCAGCCTCGAGCCCAAACCTCGGTCCCGACTCTGGGCCCCAACACCGAGAGCGCCCTGGGCGGATGGCGTAGTGGTTAAGCACTGGGTCGCTAACTGAAAGGTGGGCGCCTGGACCCACCAGCCATTCCTCGGGAGAAAGATGTAGCAGTCTTCTTTCATAGCGATTACAGCCTTGGAAAGGCTATGGAGCAGTTCTACTCCGTCCCTTACCGTCACTCTGGGCAGGCATAGACTGCTTTGTCACCGGTTGGGTTTGGGGCGGGCCGTTTCGGACGCCCCGCCCCACCGGCCTGTTTGATTTATGACTGGCCCTCAGGCTTGAGGCGCCGCTCCCAGCGGCCACAGCCCGGGCGTCCGGTGGGCACCGACCTCCGCCGCACTGGCGGTCGCAGCCTGTTGCGGAGGCCGCCGGCAAACACGCCTGGCCGCCCAGCGCGCGCAGAAAAGGCGCAGTCAGTGGGGCTAGATCTGCTTCCGACTTCGGCTGGACCAGGATGGAGTGAGCGGCACGGCCCTGGCCACGCAAACCCGGCCCCACGTCGCAGGTCCGCCGGCGTAGCACAGCCGAGCCCCCGCACGGCCGCTGCAGGAAAGGTAAGCACCCAGCAAAACAGCCACCCTCGACCCCACTCCCGCGACACCGCACGATCCCCGCCCGCAGGGGCAGTGTGTGCCCTAGTCCGCGCTGAGGCCAGGGGTCCCCACTCCTTCGGCAGAAATTCCCCTAAGCTCAGGTCGCCCCTCGGCACTCGAGCCTCCAGCGCGAAGCGGGCGTCACGCTCGACAGCGAGTAGCTCGGAGGCAGGGCACCGTGGGCCGTGGCGAGGGCAGGGCTGCCCCAGGGCACCCCGGGCCGCCCCGCCGAACTCCGTGGGAACGACCCACACCACCTTCTGTGGAACTGGCCCGGTGATATTTCCGAAGCGAAGCAAGTGCCAACTCGGATCTATGCTTCCGACATCTGCTTTCCCAATAAAAAAGCGCGTTAGCCAAATTTATCCGTGAAAACGTAAAGCCAAGTACCTCGCGCCTCCCAAGCCTTCTAAAGAGCCCCCGAACTCGGGCCCCTGAACTCTCTCCACCCGCTAGGACGCAAAACTCGTGTCTCAGCAAACGCCCCCGGAGCCACGTAGGGGAGAGCAAGCGGGACTGGGCGCCGTCCAGGGGTCGGCCCGGCGGGCGCCCCACCTCATCGCGTCTTCTGTCTTTTGCAGCCCGCGCGAGGCAGGAATCCACCATGAACCGGGATGGCCCCCTAAACGCCCGCGCAGAGTCCGCCCCGACCGCCGCCGCCTGCGACTCGAGCCCAAGCGGGACGGGGTCTGGCAGCGGTGCGCGCTCCGGGAGCGGGCGGCCGGCGGCGGCCAACGCGGCGCGGGAGCGCAGCCGTGTGCAGACCTTGCGACACGCCTTCCTGGAGCTGCAGCGCACGCTGCCGTCCGTGCCGCCTGACACCAAGCTATCCAAGCTGGACGTGCTGCTGCTGGCCACCACGTACATTGCACACCTCACCCGTAGCCTGCAGGATGACGCCGAGGCGCCCGCGGACCCCGGGCTGGGCGCCCTTCGAGGCGACGGCTACCTACACCCAGTCAAGGTAGGCGCTCAGGGCGCACTGCGGAGCTCCTGCAGGGAGCAGGGGGCAGGGCACCGAACCCTGTCCTGTCTGCCGCCGAGTTCTCTTCTGTTCCTCAGAGTGAGTCTGTAAATCTTTACCGAAGCAGACTGCCCCAGCTTTCTTCTGCTGAGCAGCTGGTGGGTTCGAACCTGCGACCTTTGGTTAGCAGCTGAGAGCTTAACTACTGCGCCACCAGGACAGCTACGAAGAAAAACTATAATGTATTTGTTCATATCGTTTCAATAATAGAATGGAATGTATGTTTGGTGAATTGATCACTTATTCGCCAAGAGAATCCATTTTGTACAATTTGTTTACATCACATATAGGTAGAACGACCAGGGTTTTCATTTACTGTGGTGTATATGATCACAAGGAGTTCTGGTAGCTTAGTGCCTAAGGCACTTGACCGCTAATCAGAAGGCTGGCGGTTCAAACCCACCAGCCACTCCTGCGAAGGAAGGAAGGTTGGACAACCTACTTATGTAGTGATACTGCCTTGGAAACTATGAGTTGGGTCCGAGTCGATGGCACATAACAACTACAACATATGATCACAATTTATTACCTATATTCCGGTGTTTGCACTGCATCGTTTGTTCTTTTGTTTCCCCTCCAATTTTGTTTTTAAACCCTACATTGGTCTAGCTTTCTGTTCAAAATTCATCATCTTCCCCAATTTCTTTAACGTGAATTTTCAAATTTTTGGTTTCACCATTCTGAACCATTATGCCACATGCATGCACACACACACAAGTACAAATACAAAATTAAGACTTAGCCTTTAGTACAATATCAGAGTTTGATAAATTATTGAATAATTATTGAAATATGGAAGCTACACTCTGTAATACCAACTAACTCACAATTTTGTGGTGAGGCTTAACGTAATTTACTTTGAAAATATAGCCAACATGATAATAGGCTGAAACCATTTTAAATATTAAAAAAATTGAACCATCATTTATTTACAGTTATCATAGATCTTACACCTGTCACAAGCTTTATAACAATCTCAGTTGAAAAGTCATTAATTAAGAGCTTTTGCATTACAGTGTACATTAGATTGCTATTCAAATATATCATTAATATTACATTTATTTTGATTTGGTATTTTCCTTATACTCTAAGAAAGTTTATTTTAACATTCAAAATCAAACCAAACACACTGCCGTCAAGTCGGACCCGACCCATTGAGACCCCTCCTTGCGTTTCCAAGGAGGTATCACTACGGAAGTAGATTGCCCAACCTTTCTTCCGAGGAGTGGCTGGGGTTTGAACTGCCAGCTTTCTGATTAGCAGTCAGATGCCTTAGGCAGTACGCCACCAGAGCTCCCATTTTAACATTAAGGAGATTTTTTAATTATTATTATTAAAATCTCCTTAATGTTAAAATGGGAGCTCTGATGGTGTAGTATACAAAAGCCATCATTTAAATGTCACTTTGTGGGAGACAGAATGAGAAATCAAGTTGTTATTTACATTGGTGTCTTGCAGTGCTTTTTGAATGAATGCTGTTAGAGTGATCATTTTCATGTGACAATAAGCTTAAGACTTTCTTTGTACTTCATTCATGTACAAATCATATACTTGCTTTATATTTTGTAGTCATAACAATTTTAAGAAAAAGAAAATCCCATTTGTCCTCTGAATCAATTATTTTGGTTTTGAAAGACAACTCTAGAGATAATAAATAATACATGGCCAAAGGTTACCTCTTAAAAATGAAATTGATGATTGGACAATTAATATGATTTAAAAATCAAACATTTCCTGAGTGCCTACTATGTGCTGTACAAAGCAGTGTGTTAAGATAAAACTCAGCCCCTGCCCTAAATGAACATATAATAAGGTCTGAGACAAAAATACAAAAAACAGTACCATGAAGCAGAATGTTCTATATGCTATAAAAGAGCTATAATCATGTGCTATTGTGGGTCAAAGAAAAGAGATTTATATACATAATTTAAATGGTCTGTAATAGACACTTTCAAAATGTTTAAATAAAATGCTCAAATTTGGTTAATGAAAAAGGAATAAAAATATTCTGATTTTTAAACTTTTTGATTAATTGAAGGTCCATTATAAACTATTGTAACCCTTAGTAAAAAGTATGACTTTTTTTTCCTGCCTTAGGACATAGTTACTAGAGTCTTACTCTGATGATTGGAGATCTTTTAACAAATATCTCAAGGCAACCCTTTTGAACCATCAGTTCCTGTATTGTTATTGTTACCACATTAGCATTGTGAAGGATTTATGTTAAGAAAAAACAAACTCGCTGCCATCTAGTCACATCTGACTCCTTGGGTTTCCAAGGCAGTATTGCTATGGAAGTAGATTGCCCAATCTTCCTTCCAAGTAATGGCTGGTGGGTTTGAACCACTAGCATTCTGGTTAGCAACCAGATGCCTTAGGCACTGGACCACCAGAGCTCCTCCTATGTTAAGAGTATCTCAAATGCAACCGGAAGGTTTCAGAGACTAGACTCCTGGGGCATAGCCTGCACAGGGTTTTTTTATCCTTTTGGAATACAGTTGACTCAGATCAGCACTGGTGGCCCAAAGGGCAGTGATTCTCAAAAAAAACAGGACTGTATTTCAGATTTTTATTTTAGGGGGAGAAACCACGGTGACTTTATTCTTGTCCCTTGAGAATGATTGTTGATAATATAGACAGTAATTTTTAACATAATGATAGGGTTTTGTTATTTTGGGGTCATTTAATTCCTAAAACCAAGAGTACGTTTTTAAAGTCTTCAATTTCAAGTTCAGTTTTGGTTAATTGTATGACTTTGTGAGACTTTTTAGCTTACTAAAACTCAAAACCACTGCCGTGGAGTCGATCCGGACTCATAGCAACCCCTCCTTGGGTTTCCGAGGCTGTATGTCTATGTAAGTAGATTGCCCAGTCTTCCCTCCAAGGAGTGGCTGGTGGGTTTGAACTGCCAGCCTTCTGGTTAGCAGTCAAATGCCTTAGGCACTATGCCACCAGAGCTCCCAACATGGCTTTAAATATACCTTATTAGGGAAAGTAGAATTCAAGGTTATGTTAATCTACCCAATAGTAAAACAAGTCATTGAAAAGTAAAATGTAAATCAGTCAACTGGGTTTTTCCAGCATCATGCTGGCATACAACCTAAGCAATACTTTCTTTATATCTTAATTTCTAACTCTTCAAACTGTCTACATTAAATTTAGTTGAATAAAATCATTACAAGCTTTTTCAAAAATCCAGAGATACAAAGTTCTTAAAAAGGACAGTTTTATTATTTGATTCAATCTATGAAAAATTAGGCAAAAATCCACATACATGCTTTTAAGTCTGCTTCATTAATCATTTAAGTTTCAGCAAGTATGTAACGCAAGGAGCCTTCATTTGTCTCCACACTGGGTTGTGTGATTTAGAGCAGCGAATGTCCAATTCACCCAGAGTACTTGTTTGTAGTTGTATTTAATCCACATTGAATTCTTAAATTACACTTAAAATTTGAATATGACTTTTTTACGCTCATGAAAAAGAACTCTGATGGCGTAGTGCCTAAGGCATTTGACTGCTAACCAGAAGGCTGGTGGAACAGACTTGACAGCAGCGAGTTGGGTTTTTTTTTTTTTTGATGCTCATGAAAATGGGGCAGGATTCAAAGCCCTATTTGTGTAGTGTGTTTTCTCATAGTTTTGCCTATTTGGCAATAAAATTGTTTGAGCAGTTACCCATCATAAAGGTGAATTTTAAAAAGTCATGTTCAGTAATACAAATGTGATGATTAACAAAAGGTTAGAGCTGCATTATGCCAACACATCCTGGTATTTAATCGGGATATCACATAACTGTAACATCCAACATTCTAATCTTTGCAGCTATCCAGTTATTTGCACTTAGCTAATAAAACTTGACTGCTACCAGAAGGCTGGCGGTTCAAACCCACCAGCCACTCCTCGGAAGGAAGATGGGGCAATCTACTTCCGTAGCGATACTGCATCAGAAACCCAAGGAGGGGTCGCTATGAGTCAGGTCTGACTCGATGGCACGTAACAACAACAATAAAACATCTAGATGATTGAATTATTTACTTTACATTGTACTTCTCTGGTAAGTATAGACACATACTACTATGTCTGGAGTCCCTGGGTGATAATACTGTATATAGAAGTCCCTGGGTGATGCATGCAGTTAATGAACACTCAGGTAACTTACAAATTAGTGGTTTGAGTCTACTCAGAGGTGCCTCAGAAGAAATAACTTGAGTCTACTCAGAGGTGCCTCAGAAGAAATAACTTTAAAAAATATCTAATTGTAGGCTTAATGTTGTTTTAGATTGCCCAGTTTTCCTTCCAAGGAGTAGCTGGTGGGTTTGAACCACCAACCTTCTGGTTAACAGTCAAGTGCCTTAGACACTACACCACCAGAGCTCCTTTTTGTTTTAGAGTTAGTTTGAAATAAAAATATTGTGGGTGGGTACATTTTTACACTTTGGTAATATTTGTTTACCATGGTTTCTTCCAGCTCTTGTCCACATGCATACTGTTCTAATCAAAGTCTGGGTACATTTGCACTTTTATTGATAGCATTAATAAACATTAATAATGTCCCTTAGACTTTATAATTACATGTTACTTGTTATTACCAGCTATATAATATTTCATATTGCATTTGCATTGAGTGTTTGGAATATATGTCAGAGACACTAACTTTTGAATTCTTGTTAAAATATTCTTTTTCAGAAATGGCCCATGCGATCAAGATTATACATTGGTGCTACTGGTCAGTTTCTGCAGCATTCTGTTTCTGGAGAAAAACCAAATCATGGCAACACTTCAGCTGACTCAGAGCCTTAGACTCACATCTGGTGGGGACTGGTAGGAGTGGTGGTTGTTGTTTTTAAATAGTATGAAATAATTCTATATTTATTAGATCAGACATAAGAAACATCATTTCTGAAAGTTTATATATGAGTTAATAGTTGGATGTTCAGAATTACCTGTCCAGTCTAAATAATGTGGAATGAAATACTCAGTCTTACATAAAACACAGCTTATCCACTATGAGAAGTAGTCAATACTAGAACAAAAGAAACTATTCGAAAAAATACACAAAAGCAAAGAATTGTGTATATATCAAAAAGATTCACGTATTTTCTGTAGTATATCTACTACGAACTGAAAAGCTGATATCTAAATACAGTCTTCTAAGTTTAAAAGAAGTGTGTTTATAATACACCCAGTTCCATTTTTGTAGAATAGTCTGCTTATAGTCGCTCTAAGAAAACATTTCATTTGGAAGGCACAAAATCACTTCTTCAGTTTTAGCTGAATATGTGTGTTGAGGTATGATAAAGATGCAGTAATTTCTCTAACTAGTTTTTTCCTTTTTAGAAAACTTGTTCAGATATTAAAAATGGTTTGCTCCAAAGGACAGGGTTTAGCAGTCTTCCTATGTTGTTGTTGTTATGTGCCATCGAGTCGGCCCCAACTCATAGCGACCCCTCCTTGGGTTTCCGAGGCAGTATCACTACGGAAGTAGGATTGCCCAACCTCGATTATTAAATATCTTATTATATTTCCAAATTGTGAAAGACACTGGGAATTCCCTGCAGAGTGGGATGAGCAGGAGACTGAATGTCAACTGGGTGTCAGGGATCGTCACCTTCCTCCTTGGTCACACTGTACCCACCTACCCTTTCTTAAGGTCCTAGTTAGATGTTCAGGTTCAGCTGCAGCCACCCAGGAATGTGGCATGTTCAGGCCTTTCAGGACCCCCCTCATAGTCAGGGCTTTGGCAGGTTCCTTCTCCCCTTGTCAGTTCCTGTTCAGTTTCTCAGTTGGCGGTTGTGACATGTGAGAACTCAAGTCTGATTTGGGAATTCTGACACTGATCTGCACCTTGAGAGAATCTGAGGACACAGAGTGACTGTCCTGAGAATACATTCAGGCCTGAGTAGACCCCCTGAATCTGCCCTGCTGTGAGCCCACAACCAGGGAAGGACCCCCAGAGGAGCAGCAGTTACTGCCTGCCCGCACCATTGATTTCAGTTTTCCTTGGAGTGGGGAAGAAGAGGGAGAACACTGAACCCCAAAACAACACATCAGCACCAGTCTGTTTGGTTGCATCTTTGTGGATTTGGTGTCTTTTGTCTCCCTTTCCTGCATTTCAGTCATGATAGTTTTTTTTTTATTTTTTATTAATTTTTTCAGTCTTTACTATTATCCTTTCTAGCTGTGAGGTTCAGTTATTTCTCAGTACTGGTTTTAGTTATTGAATTTGATCCAAGTTTAGCAAATAGAAAAGACATACTTATACTTTGGTTGAATTAATATAGCAATCTAACCACCATTTTATTTTCACCACCCCTCAGTTTTCTTTCAGCTTTTGGCAGTGAAATGACGTACAAGGCCATTTGAAGGCAAAAACTGTCATTTAGTTGATTCAGGAGAACATGACCTTTATGTGGTGATTTATATCTGATAGGTTGTCATTTTTAATTATTTTAATGTGAATATACTCCTTATAATGTGACCAAAGCATGTCTTTTTTAAAAAGAAAAGGCAATATAATAAAAGGTTTCTACCTGTTGATATGTAGCGAAAATGTTTGTATATTTAAGTATTTGTGAATATATTTACTCACTCATAATATATAACATTGAAAGGAATAAAAGTAAAATGAGACTTAGGTACAGCCATTCAGTATTATAAGTTATTGACATATGAAATGCTGAAAATAATTTATTTTAAGAATGGAGTCAATTTATGACAATGTAACTGACACATTTAATTGGTTCCCTATTAGCTTTTAATCAAAACATCTTTAAAGTAACTTAAAACTGAGCTTTAAACACTAAATTTGATAGCAAATATGTCAGAAAAGTGGTTTTTTATCTTGCTAATAATGTTAATCTACTAGTCTGGCTGTAATTTTAAAAGCATTTTGTTTGGAGGAAAAACTGACTTTTGTTGAATTGCATTTTTCTAAATTATCCTTTTAAATATGCAAGCTTTACCTTTGACAAGATTACTTTTCATTCCTTCTTGTCCAATTTCAAATGTCTTAATGCCAAAGAAGTGTATTGCTGTCATAGATTTTCATAGAATTTTGTTGAATTTCTAAGTATGTTAACAGCTTTTGGTAGGTTGGAAAACCTCAGAGGAGAAATTGCGTATTCAAAGAGCATGCTGTTTTAATTAATGGTGCATGGTCAGGATAAGAAGTATTACCAAAATTAAATAAAGATTAAGTTGAAAATTAATTTAGTCTGTTTGTTAAACTTGCATCTGTCTCTGTGAGTATTTAATAAATACTGAAGGCACATATAAGAAGCTTTCTACAAGATAGCTACCTACTTGGTAGCTTCTTTGCCATCCTGTCCTTAACAGAGTATGTTATCAGGATTGCCAGAGAGGGGTTTAGTGTTTGGATCACAATAGTAGCCCATAATCTGTGCAGGAAACCCTCAAGTACCTGTCTGTCAATTCATCTGTCTCAGTGATAGGATACCCATTTCAAACTCTGTTATGATAATTTAGGGGGTGAGGAAATACTTTTAGAGGTATAACCAGTTGTAGTAGACTTAAACAATAGTTGTTTCTTTTTCTGATTATAAAAGTATAGGAAGAGGAGTCTCAGTGGCACCAACAGTTAAGCACTTGACTGCTAACCAAAAGGTTGGCAGTTCAAACCCATCCAGAGGTATTTCAGAAGAAAGGCCTGGTGATCTGCTTTTGAAAACCCTATGGAGCAGTTCTCCTCTGCACCAAACAGAAGTATCAGTAGGCAGTTATGTATGTCAGCTACCCCTCAGTGAAGCTATATTAAGAAGTATATATATATATTCATTTTAAAAAATAAATAAAAAGGAATGAAGTGAAAAGTGGAAGTCCCTATAGTGGACGAAGGTGTTTGGGTTGGAGGAAAATTAGGAAATATCTGTTCTACACCGAAAGCTACTGCCATCAAGTTGATTCCGACTCATAATGACCCCCTTTGGGTTTTCAAGGCAGTAAATCTATAGGGAAATAGATTGCCCACTCTTCCTTCCAAGGAGTAGCTGGTGGGTTTGAACTACCAGCCTTCTGGTTAGCAGTCAAATGCCTTAGGGACTGCACCACCAGAGCTCCTTATCTGTTCCACACAGTAATGAAAACTGTGTTTTCATTTTTATATATGGCTCTTTTGACCCACTGCTGCAACTTTCATAGTCACAGATACCTGAAACAGGGACTTTCTCATCTATTCATGGAGACTGTTTAAAAGAATCTGTGTAAAAGGGAAAAATAAATACTGATTGGTCTTATTGAAATAAACAGAAATTTTGTTTTGTTGAAATTGCTTTTAGGTTAAATTATTCAATAATTTCTCTTTCTCTCAAACCAAAAAACAACAAAAAAAGCAAACTTAATGCTGTTGAGTCAGATCCAACCCATAGAGACCCCTCCTTGAGTTTCCAAGGCAGTGTCACTATGGAAGTAGATTGCCCCATTTTCCTTCCCAGGAGTGGCTGGTGGGTTTGAACCGCCAGCCTTCTGGTTAGCAGTCAAGTGCCTTAGCCACTACGCCACCAGAGCTCCCTCAAAGGACCCCATTTTATATCTATGAAAACAACTAGTAAGTTATTATCAATTGAAGAGAGAGTATTCAGTCTTTAATAAGATCTTTTGGGGGCTAATTTGATATAGGAGTCCTTGAGTAGTGTAAGCGGTTGACTCACTTGGCAGCTAGTTGAAAGTTTAGGGGTTTGAGTCCATGTAAATGCACCTCAAAAGAAAGGCCTGGTGATCGGTTTCTGAAAAATCAGCCGTTGAAAGCCCTGTGGAGCCAGTTCTACTCTAACATTAACCTGGCAACTTGTGGTTGTTGTTAGGTGCCATTGAGTCATTTCTGACTCATATCAATGCTATGCACAACCAAACAAAACACTGCCCAGTCCTCTAGCATCCTCACAGTTGTTGCTCTGTTTGAGCCCGCTGTTGCAGCCAGTGTCAATCTGTCTCATTGAAAGTCTTCCTCTTTCACTGATGATCCACTTTACCAATGATGATGTCCTTCTCCAGGGTCTAGTCCCTCCTCACAACATGTCCAGAGCACATAAGACGAAGTTTCACTATTCTCCTTTCTAAGAAGTGTTCTGGAGGTACTTTGTTCAAGGGAGATTTGTTCTTCTGGCAGCTCATTGGTATATTCAATACTCTTTGCCACCATTAGAACTGAAAGGCATCAATTCTTCTTCAGTCTTCCTTATTCATTGTCCAGTTTTCATGTGCATATGAGGCAATTGAAAATACCGTGGTTTGGGTCAGGCACACCTTCATCTTCAAAATGACATCTTTGCTTTTTAACACTTCAAAGCAATCTTTTGTGCCAGATTTACCCAAGGCATTACATCATTTGATTTCTTGACTGCTGTTTCCATGGGCATTGATTGTGGATCCAAGTAAAATGAAATCCTTGTCAACTTCAGTATATAGAAGTTAAGAAACAAGTCAGTGATTTAGATACATGGTGACTGTTTTTTTCATTCTTTATATATTTTCCAGCACATTATCTAATCTTTTTCTTTAGGCCTTGGTGTATCATAGTGCCATTCTGAGGAAGTAACCCAACATGGACAAAACATCTCTGCGTGGCCAACATAATTAGCTTAGAAAGCAACATGACCCAAAGGACTAAAGGACCATGAGAACCTGAGCCTATATGACCCTGAGACCAGAACTAGATGGTGCCCAGCTACCAATGTCAACCACCTGGAAATGGATCAAAATTGGAGATCCTGGGTAGAGTGGGAGAAAAAATGTGGAACAAAATTTAAGAACATAGAAAAGACCTCTAAAGCACTTGACTGCTA